CTGCGGTGTTGGTGTTGGGCTGTGGACTGTGGTGTTGATGTTGGGCTGTGGACTGTGGTGTAGGTGTTGTTACGTGGAGTGTGTTGCTGATGTTGTGGAGCTCTCTTCTGTGGAGCATGAATGTGTTGTTGGCGTTGTTCTCTGGGCTCTGTTATGTCCACTGGAGTGTGATGTGGACACTGCATGGGCACTGTCTCCCCCGTGGAAGGTGACTTGACCTGTCCAAGCTGCCCACATTGGCACAGGCTATGACTGGGTCGAATGACTAGGTCGAGCTGGGATCATTAGTTATTCAAGCCCCTAAGCCTGTGGGTGTTTTTAAAATGCATGCCCTCCTCTCCCACCTTTATCAGTTGTGTCTTCTGATAAAAAGAAATGCTAAACCAAAGGCTGCTATGCCCAAGTAAAGGCCCCTTGGGGTCTGTGTATTATAGATACACATACACACAGGGACAGGGACACACACACACACACACACACACAGACTCACACATGAGACACAGAGAAGTAAAATGGAAAGCTTCAGTACAAAGCCTTTATTGCTTTATTTTTGCACTTGTGGACAAGGGGTTTATATGTTACAACACTGGTTAGGAGTCGTTTGTTCCTGGATGTCTTGGGCTGGGTGCTCCAGAGAAGCAAAACCCACAGCACTTAGCTGTGGCTGTCTGCCAGCAGTCACTTGACATACCAGCGGTCACTTGGCATGCCCGTGGCCTCTGCGTGCCAGCAGTCCTGGCATGCCGGTGGTCTCTGTGTGCTAGCAGTCACTCGGCATACCAGCGGTCACTCAGCGTGACAATGGTCCTGGCATGCCAGCAGTCCTGGTGTGCCAGCAGTCACTCAGATGGCCAGTGGTCACTCGGTGTGCCAGTGGTTACCAGGCATGTCAGCGGTCACCCGGTGTGTCAGCAGAGACTTGGTATGTCGGATGGCCCCTGGTACATCTGTGGTCTCCTCACGTGTCAGTGGTCAACCAGGTTATCAGTGGTCACCTGGCAAGTAAGTGATCATTCAACATACCAGTGGTCACCCAGTGTGTCAGCGGTCATCCACCATCTCAGGGGTCTCCTCCGAGCCAGTGGTCACCAAGCTTGTCTGTGGTCATCTGGTGTGTCAGCAGTCACCGGGCACCTGGTGTGTTGGCAGCTAACCAGCATGTCTGCGGTCACCCAGCGTGTCAGCGGGAACCCAGCTCAGGGAGTGGAGGGAGTGCACTCGTCAGAATACCCCAAGGGAGAGGACGTTCTACCCAGCTGTCCTTGTAACTGCTGTGAGCTCAGGAGTGCGGCGTCTTGCTCCCACCTTAGGCCTGAGGTGAGGACACAGCCCCTCTCACTGCTATGAGAGGTCAGCACTCAGACACACCCGCTGAGGACGCACGTGGAGGGACACGCTCACAGAACACGCAGACGTGTGGACGGCGGGGAGGGCCTTGGCACCCCAGACCCCGCACTTCCTCGCAACGTGCTCACATTGTACACCCACACGGTGTCCGTGCCCTCGCCCATGACCATGTCTGGTGTCCAGTTTGGGAAAGGGAAGCGGCAAGCAATGACCCTGGCATCATTGGCGAGCTCCAGGTCCAGCTTCTTCTCCAGTGGCGGCATCTGTGGGAAGGTCACAGCTTCAGTGTGGGGTCAGTGCCCAGAGCACCCTGTCTAACCACAAACCCCACGGCCAAACCCAGCACTACCGAGTGGACTCCAAGCCACAGGCCCTTGTGGGTGTATGGGCTGTGGACCTGAACGGTGGAAGGCAGCGCCCTTTCTCCCCAGGTGGAGCACCGGGTGGGTCAAAGGCCATGACCACACTGTTAAACCCATCGTGCCTAACAACCAGGCCTCCCTCCTATACACAGCAAAAACGGGGCACTAGAGGCAGAAAGAAAACGGTCTATCCTCATCAACAGGGACAGCCCATGGCAGAGGCACAGTGAGAACAGAGCTGCCCTGAGTCACACCCCCATCCCAACAGGACACACACGTGGGCAACAGCAGCACAACACATCTTCTCAAGCCCACACAGCACCTTCACCAGCACAGGCTGTGCCGAGGGCCACAGAGCCACCTCAGCCGGCCTGGAAGGGTAGAACCTGAAAGGCCTACCATGGAACTAGACACCACCAGCGGAAACGTGGCTGGAATACACCTCAAGAGAATTTAGGAATATTCTGAACAAAAATAAAATTAAACCATATAGTTTCCAAATGTGTGGGATGCAGTTAAAGTCATGCCTAAAGGGAAATTCATAGCACTGAGCACACACACACACACACACACACACACACACACACCCTCCAAGAACAGAGATCTAAAATCAACAAACTAAATCCTACCCATGTTGTTGATGATAACCATCTACGAAAAGGAAAATATTAAATCTAAAGTGAGCAGAAAAAAATAATAAGAGTGGAAATCAGTGAAATTGAAAACAGTAAACTAACAGAGAAGAATCAATGGTTCTTTGAAAATACCAATAAAATTGATAAATCTCTAGACAGGCAAACAAAAAAAGGGGGGGAGGAAAATCATAAAATTATCAGCATCAAAACAAAAGAAACACCACAATAGTCAGTCCCATGGACATTAAAAAACAATAAAGAGAGGATAGGAACAACTCTAGGATTGACAGACGAAATGGATGATTCCTTGAAAGTCATTTCTGTAAGAAGAATGTCAGGTGAAATTACTCCCAAGCGTTGTTCTGGCATTAAGAGTCTTGACGCCTAAAAAAAAAAAAAAGGAAAAAGAAAAAAGAAAAAAAAAAGTCTGACACCTGAAACATCTAAGCCAAAAGCATCTCTCCTGAAAAAGACCCCAGGTAGGGACGAAAAGTACCGAAAACACATTTGTAAAACATGTATTAGAGCAATTACGAAATGGGCCGTTTGTAGCAGATCACAGATTCCGTTTTTCTGACTAAAATCAAGACGTGGCAATAATTAAATGAAAGGCAGCTTCAAATGACTTGCCTGTGCATGTGAACATGAACTCTCCCCATCTATGATTTTTCTTTCCCCTCAACACTATTCTTAGCCATCTCTCCTTAGTTCTGAAGCCTCGGTTCCTTGGTTAGCTCTTAGAACAGACACTGTTTCAGG